GCATGTGTGTGTGTGTGTGCGTGTGTGTGCATTCGCGCATGTGCACAATGATGGGTGCCAGAACATAAACATAAATTGCACTTTTCTTTGTTATATTCTTTTGTTAATTGTGTGTGTGTGTGTGTGTGTGTGCATGCGTGCGCGCATGTGCACAATGATGGTTGCTAGAACATAAACATAAATTACACTTTTCTTTGTTATGTTCTCTTGTTATTGCCTTTCACATATTTTCTTTCTTTTTGAATGGGGGTATTTATTTAAACGGGGGTCGATAAATACTTCCTGAACAGCTTGATCTGAAATTGCTCTCCCATGACTGCTCCTCAGGTTTCTGAGCGTGAGGGCGTCGGCGGTTACCATCCAGAGGAGATGGAGAGCCACGCTTTGTGGCAGGCGGGCTCGTGAGCACTTCCTGGCCATGCAGGTGGGTCTGAACGTGACCCCAGCTCGTCTGCAAAGAGCTGCCTCAGGAAACAGAACAAAAGACTGTGCTTAGGACCTACCAGGGCATTAATTTAAACACATCGCCGTCCTCAATTGAAACTTATCACAAAATACCGTTTGTGTGTATTTTTGTTTACGTCTACATGTGCAATTATAAGAGATTCTCAAACCCAACTTCGAAGTGACTTTCAGAATAAGTCATTTCCTTGGAGAAAGTGATCATCGGTGTAGCATTGTGTCCAGTAAAAGTCACACACTTTAAAAACATACTGTGGACCACAATTGGTGAACTGCTTAAAATATTTAACATTAAGTCTTTAGAATAGTTGCAGTACCGATGGTCTTTTATTAAAGAAATAAAAATTTTACTTGGAAGTTTTGATGCTCATGTAATATCCACTACGATTATAGCCACTTATTAGTACACGTACTGCTGTATATTAACTTATTTGATCCTGGTAGTCACCCTGTGAGGTGGTGCTCATTAGCATACCCATTTTACAGATGAGCAAAGTGAGGTCCAGGGAGGCAAGGTGACTTGCCCAAGGTCATTCTGCTAGTGGGTGGGGGAGTCGGTGTTGATCTATGTTGTAAGACAGACCTGGGTCCCATTCACTCTGCTTTGAGAAGGTCAAGGTCATCCAGGCCACGGCAGGCAGGAAGCGCCCCCACAGGCCCGTGGGGCTGGGCCTCCGGAGACTCGGGAGACCAGCTCCCACATTGTCTGACTGACGCCTCCGTCTCCAGCAGTTGTGCCTGGAACACGGGAGCCTTTGAGTTTAATACTCACACACTTCCCTCATGATAATGAGCACATTCAAAGCCTTAACTCGCTGTTCTTGGGAGCTCCAGTGAAATGAAGTGCTGTTATTTAGTAAAATGCACAAAATGTAACGACTCTCTGAGTGATGGATTGCCCAGTGGGAATATTTTAGAGGTGATCAGCACTTTTTAGTTACAGTGTAAAGAACGTTAGCATGTAAAGGTTAATTTGCTCATGTGTGTAGTTTGGTAGCGGGATGTACAGGAATAGACGTGGACTGATTGTCTTACGAGGCGAGTGTCTGGTCACCAATGTTTTCTTCTCCTTCAGACGTCGGAACGCAGAGCCACAGTCAGGCTCCTCCACTTCTCGGCCACCGCCCGCTGCCACCTGGCTGCCGTGCGAATCCAGAGAGCGTATCGGCGCCACGCGGCCGTGAGGAGCGCGGAAAGGCACCTCGATTCCGTCATCTGCATCCAGGTCAGCCCTCGCAGTGGCGCCTGGGACGTGTGTGTCACACACCTTTGTATTTACTAAGTACTTTCCAGGGGCGTTAAGCCAGGTCAGATCAGACCGAGCCTTTGCCGGATCGCCAGGAGGAGGGCGTGGTGGCTTAGGGAGAGGTGGATGTTCTGTGACACAGGGACGAAGCTGCGTCTCATCTCTGACGGTCACTGCGCTCGTTGACGCTCCTCCCAGCCAAGTCTGGGGGCCTGTTTCTCTACATCCTCACCCACACGTGGCTGCAGCGGGTTTTCTGATTTGTGCCATTTTAGCGAGTGGCAAATCCTCCCTCGTTTTCCTTTGGGATTAACATTCTTCTGTGTGCTGTGCTTTTTTATTTCACGTGGTTTTTCTAATATGTACTTTGCCCATTTTCCTGTTGGGCATTTTTTTTATGTGCTATCGGAGTCTGTATGTGTTCTGGATATGAACCCTGATCGTATGTACTTAGGATATACTTAACATACACTGACATGTAAGATAGCGTGTGGAGAATGCATTGCAGAGTGACCCTGCGGTTCGGTGGGATTCACAAACCACGAAATGGCCATGTGTCCAGGGTTAGACGTAGACGCTCACGCACACCAGCGTGGCCTAATCGTATGTACTTAGGATATACTTAACATACACTGACACGTAAGATAGCGCATGGACCATGCATTGCAGAGTGACCCTGCGGCTCGGTGGGATTCACAAACCACGAAACGGCCACGTGTCCAGGGTTAGACGTAGACGCCTGGAGGGCTTTGCAGTGGGTGGGGGGGAAGCGATGCCACGGAGGAGGCTGAGAGGTGGTTTCCAGTGTCCGGTTACAACTGAAACGTCTGTGTCATTAGTAATGTGCATTGCAGGAGGCAGCCGATCCATGATTGTCTCTCATCATTGATGTTTCAGTCTCTCCCCCTCCATGCCTCTCTGAAATCAATAAAACACAGACGCACGCGCACACGCACACGCACACGCACACGCACAAAACCGAAGTAAAATCCTCATGTGCTTTAATTTAAACAGAGTGCAGGAGGCAGCCGATCCATGATTGTCTCTCATCATTGATGTTTCAGTCTCTCTCCCCCTCCCTTCCTCTCTGAAATCAATAAAACACAGACACACACGCACACGCACACGCACATGCACAAAACCGAAGTAAAATCCTCATGTGCTTTAATTTAAACAGAGATGGTTTCGGGCGAGGCTGCGGCTGAGGAGGTTCATGCAGATCTGTCACAGCGTCATCGACCTCCAGCACGAAGTTCAGGAGCGGCGGCAGCACAGGGCGGCCTCCGTGATCCAGGCGGCCGCGCGCCGCTTCCTCCTCCGCAGGAAGCAGGAGCGGCTCCGTCACGGAGTCGTGAAGATCCAGGTGAGCGACCGCAAACGCCGCGATTGTAGGTCAAGACTCGGGGTTGCAGTTCATCTGTGGGAAATCTGCCATTTGAAAACAGTCACACACCCTCTAAAAAGCTGAGATTGGTCCATAGACTAAGTCAGTGATGACGAACCTATGACAAGTGTGTCAGAGGTGACACGCGAACTCATTTTTTTGGTTGATTTTTCTTTGTTAAATGGCATTTAAATATATAAAATAAATATCAAAAATATAAGTCTTTGTTTTACTATGGTTGCAAATATCAAAAAATTTCTATATGTGACACGGCACCCGAGTTAAGTTAGGGTTTTTCAGAATGCTGACATGCTGAGCTCAAAAGGTTCACCATCACTGGACTAAGTCATACTAGTAAATACGAAGCTGCCAGAATGTCCTGTTCAGATTCCCTGGGGGGAAGTGTATGTTTGATGAAAAGTATATTCACATTTTGAATAGAGTTAGCTACCTCGGGTCAGTGAGTGAACTTCCATTGTGCACAGGAATATCTGTGTATTTCTTCTTAGAAAGACTGAGTTGGCTGTTAGACTTAGAACCTGAATGAGGCTTTAGTTGCCAGGTGTCTGATCAATCGTCTAAACTCATGGAGGAGATTTACTTAGTGGAGATAAATGTCAGCTTACAGCATCCTGGGTGTGGTCTTTAAAAAGCAATGTTTGTCTCCCAGGCACTGTGGAGGGGCTACGCTCTGAGGAAGAAGAATAATTGTACAAAAATTAAAGCCATTCGCAGAAGTCTTCACGCTCTGAGTGGGGAGGTTCGAGAAGAAGACAAACTGTACAAGAGAACCGCCCTGGCCCTGTTCCACCTGTTGACATACAAGCACCTGTCGGCTGTCCTTGAGGCCCTGAAGCACCTGGGTGAGCGTCCCTGTGCCCACAGGTCTTATCTGAGGTCACGCTCCACGTCCGCCTCCGGGCCCGGGGCGCTCTCGTGGCCCCTGTGGCTGGGCCGGAGCCTCGTGTGGCTGAGTCTCTCCTCTTCCTTCCAGAGGTCGTCACGAGGCTGTCCCCGCTGTGCTGTGAGAACATGGCCCAGAGCGGGGCGATTCTCAAAATATTCCTCCTGATCCGAAGCTGTAACCGCAGCGTCCCTTGTATGGAAGTCGTCAGCTACGCGGTGCAAGTCCTGCTGCACGTCGCCAAGGTAGTTTTCCGTTCCAATGAGCAAATCCTCACGCAGGAAGTCCGCTCAGCGGGTGAGGTTTCCGTGTGCTCATCACCAGAATGCAGAAGCCCAGGCACATTCACGCGTCTGCACGTCTTAGGGGAACGGGCTGGTCTGTGGATGTGGGTGTTCGAGGAACTGGCTCTTACTGAGCACTCACTCAGTGAGCACTGGCCCTGAGGTGGCTGGTGCTGTTACTCCCGTTCTAGAGAGAGGGGGAGCTTTCAGTCCTCACCGGAGGGCTCGCGTGGGAGTGCGGGAGCTGAGCTGGACCGTTTCTGTCTGCCCCGCGGTCCTGGCCCCCAGCGCTGTCTCAGGGCAGGGGCCTCCTCCCGCCGCAGGTGATCCGGACGCGCTGCAGCCGCCACCTGCACTGCTCTCTCCCGTGGCGTCAGGGTCCCGGGTGTGGGGGGCGCAGGTCTGTGCTGTTGCGATGCAGGCAGTCGAAGGGGATGAGAGGACAGCTCCCCCCGCCTCCCACCCCCCCAGCCACAGCTGAGGGCTCTGTCCCCCTGGGGTTTCCCATGGAGCGGGAGGGGCCCAGACACCAGCTATGGGGCCGGGCAGGAAGGGCAGGTGCGCCTGGGAGAGGGACTGCAGACGACTGGGGGGTCACAGGTCACTCACCAGCCCTTCGCACCTGCGGCAGGTGGGCCAGGAGCGCGGCTGAGCTTCCTCTGGGTCCGGGGTTCCTGCGAACACCTGCGCTCACTGCCCCTTCCCCTCCCCTGTCTCCTTGAGTACGAGAAAACGACGGACGCGGTGGGCGCCGTGGACGGCTGCGTGGACACGCTGCTGGACCTGCTGCGGATGTACCGGGAGAAGCCGGGCGACAAGATCGCAGACAAGAGCGGGAGCATTTTCACCAAAACCTGCTGCTTGTTGGCTGTTCTGTTGAAGGCGCCGAGCCGAGCCTCGGTGAGTTCACGCTCCCACCTCCCTGTCGGCTGTGGGGGTGTGAAGGGAAGAGGCCAGGGTGGGGTGTGGTGGTCGGGGCAGGAGGTCGGGCTCGGCCGGGGTTGTGTACCTGTGGGAACCCTGAGGAGTGAAGTCACAGGACTTGGTAACGGACACAGTGGGCACCGACTGGTACTTGCCTTTGTGTCATGTGGATTTCAGGGCACAGGGTGGAGTATTTGCCCTCTATCCTCATCTTATAAATCAGCTTATGCTTCACCCCCGTCCGACCTCAGAGCCGGGGGAGCTCGCTGGTTTATCACAGTGTGTTCGATGGAAGGAATGCAGAATGTACTTCTCAGTTTTCTCTTTCAGGATGTTCAAAGCAGGTCCAAGGTGGCCGACTGCGTGTACAGTATCTACAAGCTCACAGCTCATAAGCATAGAGTGGACGCCGAGCGAATACTTCACAAGCAGAGTCAGAACTGCTCCGTGAGCCTTCCCCGCCTCCCCGAAACCCCCGCCCGGGCCCGGATGGTGGCACGGTGAGCAGGGGTGTGCTCTGCGGCTCCGCGTCCCTGCGCGCGCGTCCTGAGGCGTAACTCACACACGTGCTGTGTCTGCCGATGGAGAAGCAGCCTGACCAAGAGGAGAGGTGCCTGCGGGAGCCTCTCAGGACGCGGTGCCGTCAGGGTGCTGCCCCTGAGAGTCAGGCCTGTGGTTCCTGGGGGAGGAGCAGGCCAGAGGTCACATGAGGGGTCAGGAGATTCAGGACCCATTCGCTAGCCTTTAAGGCCTGAGAGGGATGCGATCACCTTGGGGAGAGAAGACACAGACAGGAAAGCCCCAAATGAACCTCAGGGCAGCCCCCACTCCTCCAGAAGTCACGTAGAGGGAGAGCCAGTCGCGAGGGGCCGAGGACTTGCTAACCGGACAGGAGGACACCCCAGGACAGTGGCCTCCCCGCCAGCGGAGCGGGTGCGGCTGCGAGGTGGTCAGAGGGAGAGGGGACGCCGCCGGGTGTGGCGGGAGGGAGCGTGGGGAGTAGTGATGTCTGAGAGCCGGGTCAGGCAGTCACGTGGCCAGGAGCCGCCGTGTTCACCAAAAGGGGGGCGGGGGTCGCTCTTTGAGGAGAAGGACTTGGTTAATGCGAGGCCTTTGTTCTCCCACAGGCTCCAGCCAGGCTGGGTCTTGAGGAGGGACAACGTGCAGGAAATCACGGCCCCCCTGCAAGCTGTGCAGCTGGTGATGGACACGCTTGGCGTTCCTTACCCGTGACGGGGGCAGCTCCGCGTGTGCAGGGAGAGGACATTGTAAAGCGAATCATGGCTGTGGAAAGTGCTTGGATTTTTTTCTAGAACGAAGATCAGATTGTGTATTAAAATGTAAGAAATATGTATATCAATAAAGTTTCTACCTTTGTCATTGTTTCTTTTAGCAATAGCTTTACGGACATGATGTTTTCTCTCTCTCTCTGTCTCCCTCTGCCTTCCATTCTCTCTAAAAATCAATCCTCCGTGAGGATTAACAAAAAAATAAAAAGTCTGGCTGGCTGGATGATTAAGTATGTAATAATTAAAAGGATAACAAGATGTTCATAAAAGAATCCTGGTGATCCAGGGGTTGGGGTTGCCCATGATCCTCTCTGGGTTCTTGGCTTCTCGCGGGAAAGAATTCAAAGGCGAGGCAGCGCAGAGTTGACCCTGACAGAGTTCATTTGAAGCAGGGACAGAGAGCGGCCACTCCCCAGGCGGCAGCCCCTGCCCGGTGGGATCGCCTGCTTTTCAAAGGCGAGGCAGCGCAGAGTTGACCCTGACAGAGAGTTCATTTGAAGCAGGAACAGAGGGCGGCCACTCCCCAGGCGGCAGCCCCTGCCTGGTGGGATCGCCGCCTCTACTGAGACGCACTGGAGAAGCTGGGCATCCCGTGAGGGGAGGAACACTCGGGATTTTCCTGGGAGAGGGGTGAGGAGCCCTGGCGGCCCGTTCCCTTATGTGGGTTCCCGGTTCCTGCACCTCAGCGTGGGGGATGCTCTTATAGGACCGTGAGCGTGTAAGGAGGCGAGCGAGGGGTCACTGCGAGGCGAGACCAGTCCCACGTGGTGGTCCCGTCTGTTCTGCCAGCTCTAAACCACAAATCCTCCGGGGTTGGTTGGTCTTACGATCTCCCTGATAGTCCTTGTAGCCTTGATTGGTTACAGCTGTTTGGCCACTTTATCTCCCTGGTGGGGGTGAGGGGAAATTTTCACATTAAAAACAAATTATTGAAAATGAGCAGAGGCCATATTATATCTCTCACTGGGAAGCCACCTGAGTGTCCATGAAGAGTCGAATGAATAGGCTACCTGTGGCATGGCAACAATGGAACACATACCACCTAGGGAAGGGACTAGCCACTACGGCCAAGATACGGGTGGATCCCACAAACCAAAGGTGAAACAAGATGTCAGACATAAAAAATACACACTATGTGATTTCATTTATGTAGCATAAGACCAGTGAGAGGGCCTATGCTGTAGAAGTCAAGATAGTGTTTACCGCCCGGCCGGCATGGCTCACCGGTTAAGCACCGACCTATGAACCAGGCGGTCACGGTTTGATTCCCGGCCAAGGGCACATCCCAGGTTGTGGGCTCGATCCCTAACGGGCCGGATCCGGCCGGCGGGCCGTAGTTTGCCCAAGGCTGGACTAGCCACTACGGCCAAGATATGGGTGGATCCCACAAACCAAAGGTGAAATGAGACGTCAGACATAAAAAAATATACACTATATGATTTCATTTATGTAGCATAAAACCAGTGAGAGGGCCTATGCTGTAGAAGTCAAGATAGTGTTTACCGCCCGGCCGGCATGGCTCACCGGTTAAGCACCGACCTATGAACCAGGCGGTCACGGTTTGATTCCCGGCCAAGGGCACATCCCAGGTTGTGGGCTCGATCCCTAGTAGGGGGCGTGAAGGAGGCAGCCAATCAGTGACTCTCATCATCATTGACATTTCTATCTCCCTCTCCTCTGAAATCAATAAGAATATATTTTAAAAAAACACTATGCTGTAGAAGTCAAGATAGTGTTTACCGCCCGGCTGGCGTGGCTCACCGGTTAAGCACCAACCTATGAACCAGGTGGTCACGGTTTGATTCCCGGTCAAGGGCACATCCCGGGTTGTGGGCTCGATCCCCAGTAGGGGGCGTGAAGGAGGCAGCCAATCAGTGACTCTCATCATCATTGACATTTCTATCTCCCTCTCCCTCTCTGAAATAAATAAAAATATATAAAAAAACCCAAAAAAGATAGTGTTTCCCACGGGGGCTGGGCCCAGGCAGGGACTGGGAGAAAGCTGTGGGGTGGGTGCTGTCGTTCTTGTTCTGGGTGCTGGTCTCACGGGAGGGTTCAGTATGAGGCCCCATTCATCTGCACCGTACAGTATGTGCACCTTTTCTCTTAACGTGTTGTATTTTTTTTAAAAAGTTACAAAATTGCCTGGCAGGCGTGGCTCAGTGGTTGAGTGTTGACTTATGAACCAGGAGGTCACGGTTCGATTCCTGATCAGGGCACATGCCCGGGTTGCAGGCTCCACCCCCAGTGGGGGGCGTGCGGGAGGCAGCCTATCCATGATTCTCTCTCATCATGGATGTTTCTCTCTCCTCCCTTTCTGAAACCAATAAAAATATATTTAAAATGAAAAAAAAAAAAGTTACAAAATGGAACTCATCACAGCTCCCACCTCCCGGCATTGTTTTGTGGTTTCAAATGAAAACCCATTAGAATGCACCAGATGCCCAAGGGCAGTCGGGCTGGCCTCGCTCTTCACAGCTGTGCACGCAAGGGTAGACCGTGACCCGGTGCCCAGTGGACACCCAGGAACATCGATCCCCGGCGCACCTGCGGCTGACCACCCCGCTCTAAACATCCTCTGCTTCGATCAACAACCTCCCCCTGTCGCTGCTTAGGAGTCTTGAGGTCACTGCCCTTGAAGCAGCGGCCCAGGCGCCCCCGGGCTGTTTTCAGGTCAGGTGTCCATTGCTATCTCCCGTTCCCAAGTTCAGCGCTTCCCCCTGATCAACGGCGGTAAAGAAACCAGCGGCGAACTTTACTCTGTGGACGGGTCCCGGGGGCTGAAGTTGAAAACTGACCCATTTTTGTCAACGTGGCCCGAGTTAATGATTCGTGCTGCGGCCTGTCTTGGTCATCGGGTCCTCGCTGGATTCGGACGTGAGAGGCATTGCCAAGGTACTCAGCTGTGTTATTTGAATATGACTCGGACATATTTTGGCTGGAATCGAGGGCGTGCTACCCAGGGACCCGGGTGCTGTCAATCATTAACTTTTTCCTCAGAAGCATTGTGTATTTAACGAGGACTCCCCCGGGCTTTAAAATTGTTCCAAATCTTGGCCAAGCACAGCCCTGAAGATGAAGCCCAAAGGATTGGCTTTCATGATCCTATTAACCATCTCAGGAGAACTCAATGCAGAAGGTAAATTCCATTTCTCGTGTTCTTTATTCTCTCCAAAGCATGAAAGGAAATGCTAGGCGTTCCTTTCACTTGTGTTTTCAATGCAGTATTTCATTTTTTATGTGTCAATTTGATAAAAAAAAATACATGCTTCTTATAATTTGTGATAAAATGTAGATTGACTGGGTTTCTTTGGGCAAAACTAGCGAACTATTCTTACAGCAACATAATTTAGAAAAGTAGGACAAGACCCCAAGCCCTTTGGATGTCTAGGTTTGGGGGCAGAGGAGACTGAGATCTAGATACTTGAATAGCCCTTCGGAAGTTGTATGTTAACTTTAACTCTCAGCTCCTGCCAGAATCCCTTCCTCACGCCGAAGAGCCAGGGCAAATTGAATCTCTGCTCCTAACGTGAGAGCTTAATGTGGGGAACTTGACAAAGCATCAGGAAGGTTTTCAGCTCTTGACACTGACTTTTAAAAAAATATATATTTTTATTGGTTTCAGAGAGAAAGGGAGAGGGAGAGAGAGAGGGGGGCGGGGAGAGATGGATCGGCTGCTTCCTGCACGCCCCACACTGGGGATCGAGCTCAAAGCCCAGGCGTGTGCCCCGACTGGGAATCGCACCGTCACCTGGGTCATAGGTCGACGCTCCGCCGCTGAGCCACGCCAGCAGGCTTGGAATTGACTTGTATCCTATTTATTCCCTGGTTGAAGGCATGGAGTAGTGACTCCTAGGGAGACCCTTTGTTGATCTTGCAAAGAAGGACACTTGAGGGTGGAGTGGCTCTGTTAATAATTACCTGGACAGCGGTGTGAATGAGGACTGGAGTTTAGACAAACCGGGAGCTGTGGGCGCTGTAACAATAAGAAACCTTGATAGCCAGACGGCCACAGAGATGGATAAGGTGAGAGGGAGGTGGGTGGCTAGCTGTGGGTGTTATCAGGAGAAAAGAAACCTGCCGGCCGCTGTCAGCAGACTGAGTACGCAAAGTGGAAAGCCACAGCAAGACTCCCCTAAAGCGCACACCTGAGAGAATCGGTTGAAATAAAATACCCTGCTGGGGCCCTGGTTGGTGTTCCCAGTGGTTAGAGCACCGGCCCGTGCACAGTAGGGTCTCTGGTTCGATTCCTGGTCAAGGGCACGTACCTCAGTTGCAGGTTCAATCCCAGACCCAGGTGGGGGCTCGAGCAGGCAGCAATTAATCAGTGTGTTTCTCTCACAGCAATGTCTCTCTCTCTCTCTCTCTCTCCCCCACTCTCTCTAAACATGAATGGAAAAAATATCCTCACTCTTCAGATGAGGATTAAGAATATGTATATCCTACCAGATTATAATTGCCTTTTAGTGAAATACTTTCCTACAAATTTTCTACCAAACAAGGGTCTGCAATTAAAGTTATAAAAGTGAAATAAGTAGGATACATCTTATTTGATGCTTGGAATCCCACAATGAGATAATACCTGCATGGCACCGTTGGCGTGGCTCAGTGGTTGAGCATCGACCTATAAACCAAGAGGTCAGGGTTCAATTCCTGGTCGGGACACACGCCCGGGTTGCGGGCTCGATCCCCAGTGTGGGGCGTGCAGGAGGCAGCCGATCCATGATTCTCTCTCATCATGGATGTTTCTATCTGTCTCTCCCTCTCCCTTCCTCTCTGAAATCAAAAAAATATATTTAAAAAAAAAGATAATCCTTGCAGGGTCATTTCCTGTGGTTCTATTTCTCTGCTGAGAAACTGTGGCATCGCGTTATGGCTTTTGCACGCCGTCTCATCGAAAGGCTGTTTCGTGAAGTTGGGGAGAGCTTTCTGAGTGGGCGCCTGCCCGGGGTCCCCCTGACTGTTGGGTTGAGGGAGTGGGCTTGCTGGTTAATTCCCATGGAAGGGGATCGTCCCCCAAATCCTTAAAGATGTTGGCGATACAACGAAGCGGGTGGTCAGCGTGCCTGCCAGCGCTGCGAGAGGCACGTGGTGTGGCTCGGT